TTCGAGCCCAATCTCATCAATCAGACGAATTGGTGGATGTCTATTCCGCTGTGGTCGACCCGTAGGTAATTCTTCATCATGAACCAAGGCATTCTCGGTGAGTTCCGGTAAATCAATACAATTATTCTGCTCCTCCTGGTAAAACAAGTCATCTGATGTCGCATCTGAGGGCTGAAAAATACTCGATTCGTCAGTACTTTTAATCAGTGATCCTCTTTTCTGCTGTTCTTTGAAAACAACATGAGAACTTTCAGTGATGGCTCCAGTTTTTGGATCTAGAATGCGGTAATGCTTAGTTGTCCTACGATATCCAACAAAAATGTCTCTCTTGGCATTTAGGTCGAATATATCACGCTTCTTCTTATCGACATGGACATATGCCACACATCCAAATACTTTCAAATGCTGAATATTTGGCCGCTGACTAGCCCACAGCTTATGAGGTGACTTTTTACTGTCGATAGATGGTGTAAGATTTCTTAGGTAACATGCTGTCGCCATAGCTTCTGCCCATAATCTTTTCGGAAGACCTGGCCCTGCCAACATTGAACGAGCTTTAGTGAAAATTGTTCGGTTCATGCGCTCAACTTTCGCATTTTGCTCTCGTGTATCCGCAGTCGTGGGCTCATGTATAACTCCTAGACTAGCGATGGCTTTTCCGAGCTCTAGAGCTCCATCAGATCGAACTTTCACTATTCTTTCACCAGACTCAAGCTCAACCTCTCGTTTACATTCAGGTAAAAACTCCGAAACATCCGATTTTTGCGTCATAAAATGTACCCATGATATCCTAGAATACTCATCAACAATCACTAACATATATCGCCGACCGCCGATAGATGGATATTTATAAGGTCCCCAAGTGTCCATGAAGATCCTTTCAAACCGTTTAGTTGCCGGATTTACCGGAGGCTTCCGACTCTGAAGCCTTACTGACTTTGTAAGATTGCAAATGTTGCAATCACATGAGTCAGCTTTCTTGATATTTGGCATACCACTTACTACTTGTGATATTAATCCAAGCTTTTCCGCTCCTGGATGACCGAGACGGCGGTGCCATAACAGGGTCTCCTCCTGTGCGTTCGAGTCGGCTTTCATAGCCAATTCCTTTAATTGATGTTCCCTCAATATCCAGGTATCTCCAACTCTTGGGCCTCTAGCAACGATCCGTTCGTCTCGTTTAATTACAACATCCTTCGAACCCAGGATAACTGAGAGTCCTGCTGAAGTGAATTTTCCAGGACATAGTAGGTTCGCCTTAAGTTCGGGAATGTGAAGTACTCCTTCAAAGTTCGTATTCTGCCTATTTATCTTGCAACAAACTTTTCCTCGGCCAATGACATTGAGATTAATGTCATTTTTTGCTGTTCCGACTGTCGAATTATAATTTGCGTACTCGATGAACATGCTCTTGTCATGAGTCATATGACTAGTTGCACCGGAGTCGATACACCAGTCAAATGCCACCTATGCCATTCCTGCAGTTTCTCGAGCAGATTTTTGCTTCGTTTTCTCCTTGCCGTCTTCATCTCGCCGCTTCTTTTTGCAATCAGGCTTAATATGCCCAAGTTTTCCACAGCAGTAACATTTCCCGGTTTCCTTCCTTGTGTTAATCGATGGGTTTCCTTCTGCACGGAGTGCAATCTCATACGGCTTATCTTTTGTTTCGAACTCTACTTGTCTTAATTTTTCGACTATCTGTTCAAATGAAAAATCCCCTGCCACAATTCGAATTGTTTCCACTGTTGTCGAATATCTCTTCGAAAACCATCGGAGTAACGTATCCTTCTTTGACAAATCTGAAGGCCTGTCCTTAATAGATATACCCCCTATTCGAGCTTGTAAATGTGACAACGATGCCGCAACATCGTCTACCCTCCTCTTTAGATCTGGCGAGGAAAACTGGGACTGGAGCGATGACAATGTTCCCTTGCTACATCCTCCGTTTATTTCCTCCAACTTATTTAAAATGTCCTTGGGTGTTCTAAGCCCAAGTAAGTCCTTTGACTGCCTGCAGCAGTCTTAAGAGCGACTGTAATTTTAGCCGATTTTTCTCTTACATGTTGGTCAGCATTCTTTGGGATATCTTTGTTGATAAAATCCCCCAGCCCTGTGATTCAAGATAATATTCAATCATATCTCTCCACTCAACATAGTTTGAGTGAGTTAGGCTTAGACCCTTAAGCCCCTGTATCGTGAAGTCCCTCGAATCGTACATATTGTGGTATTCCGTCTGTAATATAACAACCCTCCGCAGAGTTGACAACGAAAACGAGTTGGTTTATTTAGATAACCTGATACGTGTTAATCAACAAAATCCCGGTTGCACAGTGAGCAAATCCGGGCTCATGACTATTGGAATATTATCGGGATTCATTATTCATATCATTCTAGTATCATCAATTACACGATAATATTCCAATAACAATCAATTCAATCAATTCTGAGAGAGATTCACATAAGTATAACTTTACTTAACAGAATTGAAGCTGATAGAAACCTCAAGCATATCTAGAATCGGCGACTTCTCGTCAAATTTTGGACCTATCATTCTCACACGAGTTTTCTACCTCAATCTTACTACATTACCTCGCCTCAAGTACCGATAATGGCTTCACTCCAATCGTAATCGGGCATTTGCCTTACCAAAAATCTGCCATCTCCCACCACAAAGTTACGATGCTATGTATACCCGCGAGGAGGAATTTAAGTCATAAGCTTCTAAGCTTAGGTTTTGGTATATGTGTGACTGTTGCTCTAATGGGGCTTCACATCTTGAGGAGGGACAGGCAGGTGGGACGTGGGACGAACGAGTGAAGAGGTCACAAATTGGCATGCTGGGATGCATATTTTTCGAGTGTTTTCGACTTAAGGGTATCTATGGGTGCAGAGGCAACGATTTCGGATAGTGCAACCGACACTCCGAAAATAGGCAACGATGGAAGGTGTTTTAGTCTGCCTCCGGGTTGTCATCTCACGGAATTAAGTCTGGGTAGCCTGGATACCAGCCCCAGTCTAGAAATGGAAGACTTTGAGGTCATATCTCGCGCGGCGGCTATATACAAGATGACAAAGGCATGTTAGGATAGCCGAAGGCATTTCCCGTTTTCCCTTTCGTGGATATTAACAGTCGGGGGAAGGGTGAAAGTCGCTAGAACAGAGGTCTCAAGTGGTATTAGGGATTGTATCCACTACACGAGTGGTCCAAACGTTAAACTGAGTTATCGTCGTATGTAGTCGCCAGGGAAGGGCTCGCCTTCTCTGTGTCGTGCTCTTTGAGTGCTAGGCTTGTGCCCGTCACGAATAAATATTTATTCATTCGCAGTGGCACTTGCAAACGAAATCTGAAACATGAGTGCTCTTCCTTTATATTGAATCATCTACTCTGCACTTTTTCTCTGATATTGTGTCATAGCTAGATAGCTGTATACGCAAGTAAAATCTGATGGAAAAGAGCCTCTTTGAACATAAAAACTAAAGGCTTTGGCTATCTAGGTTTGGACATTTGAAGTTCTGAGACGCAAGGCAGTAAGCTTCGGCATTTTGTGTCCTACACAGGACTTGTATTATGTAGAGGTAAAATAATCAGCCAAACCAACCATCAATCACTCCCAATCGGTTAAGTTAGAGATATCGGATATTGGTGTGTTTTTAAGTCTGTAATCCTATCCCGACTGGATTGAACAGCGATATGCCACCAAAGGTCAGACGCATGACCAATTATTATTATTTATTATTATTTCATTTTATTGTCCTGTCTGAGTCTATGACTATGTAGAACATGCAGATCCTCTCTGCCTATAGGCCAAGGATACCTATACCAGTAGTATATCCCCTCCTATGTCTCTCATACAGCTCCCCTCAAACAGTACCACCCCTCACAAGTCCTCATTCGATCATACACTAAGAGGAGCCCTTAGCCCTTCATTATCTCCCCTCTCCAGCCAACGAAACGATGGCCATTTGCGGGTGTATGGCAGCCGGGAAAAATCGCAAAAAACCACTGGGTGCGGAGCTCCCCTAATACCGACATTAGGACTAAATCCGAAGACATAGTGACCCTTCTGAAGCGTTCGTAGAGGTCAGCCGGCTGGGCGCTGCAGACTTGTGGGTACCTCGGGAAATTCACCCTCTGCCTTTCTAGCCTCCTTCCAACTCCTTCCCCAAGGTCGTGCTGAAATGTCAGAAAAGTCTTGACAAAGTGATTGCTTTATAGTAGCTTAGCCCAACTTCTTTTGTACCGTCCAGGGCGCTGGGGAGTGCCGTTGACTCATCGACAATAGAGGCCCTCCTGGCTAATTAGCCGAAGTCTCGGTCTTGGCGTCCACAAAAAATCCAAAGTTGAAAACTTCTCGAAAATGTCAGTCTCAGCATGCTCTTTAGAGTCCTGTTCCGCCTATCGCTTCACATCTCAGGCGCCTGTTCTCCCTCAAGTTGTTTGTCGCATTAGAGCAACAGTCCCCTATAAGCCATGACCCAGACTTTGTATTTTTCGACTTGATTTCCTCCTTGCGGGTATTAATAGCGTCGTAAATATGTAGCGAGTGATGGCTAGAGATTAATGGGGCAAGCTCCTGTTTGCAATTGGAGCAACTTCTTTATTGGCCGTTGAAGCGAGATGATGCGTGGTTAGAGATGGGTTGAGGACTCAGATGATAATGATGAGAGAGGCATTGTCGAGAAGTAGTCAAATGGAGATGTGCTTGAGATTGCTTTCGACTTTGATTCGGATGCGATTCTTCTTGGCAATCCCAGATATGCAGAGCATAGTGAGCGATTACACCGGCACTACTGGAAGGTGAAATATTCGTCTTTGCCGTCGACGCATGACCAAGTTTGCCCTGGTGGTGCTGTGGTAATAGCCTATGTCTCATACCCCAGAACTATTCTAAATTAAATCTGACCCGTCCAACGATAACCATGATAAATATCACGTGCGCAATACGTACTGCATGTGCATGTTGGTTCAAATTTGGGTGGTTCCAAGAAGTAGGTGTTGAATGTATTACGCCTACAACTCTATTCATTCGCACCCATTGCACGGTCCCCACAGCTTATTTGTGGAAATGTCAAATAAGCGCTCTTCTACTGCAGCCCAGAAGCCTCCAACATCGCTGGCTAAATCGGTTATCATCTCAGAGCAAGCTTCACTAATAGGCATTAATCATATTACAGTTGGTGCCAACACCGTTATTCACCCTCGAAGCAAGCTGAACTCTATGAATGTGCCCATAAGCATAGGAAATAATTGTATTATTTCAGAGCGGTGTAGAATTGGTCTTCAGGGTGACTCATCAACTTCTGAAGTTTTGAGCATTAATATAGAAAATGGGGTCATCATAGAAACTGGAGCAGTCGTTGAAGCAAGTATCATTGGTGAAGGCTGCATCCTGGAAGTCAATTCCAAGATTGGGAAAGGGGCTATTCTTGGAAAGGTTAAGATGGAAGCTCCCATAAAATACACAAGTTGACCTACTCTTAGTTTTGCAAGATTGGACCATCATGCGAAGTTATCGACAAAGAAATAATCCCAGATTTTACTGTGATCTATGGAACAGGACAACGCCGGATAGATACTAGCGGTATTGAATCCTTAAAATTGAAAATGGTGGCGAAACAGATAGATGTCCTAAGAAAGCTAATCCCGAGTAGTGTAGCTCACTTTAATTGATATAATGACCAAAGTTCTCTCGCAGTTAATTTTGGCTCAAGATGTGACTTACTCTTAGTTATTACAGCCTAACTATTACGCCAATAACATAGACAGCTTGAGATTTATAATAAAGTCGGCATAAGGTTTTGCAAAATACACAAGAATAAAACAGCCTGAGACGTAATAAATTGGTTGAAAGGAAATAGCTCCAATACCTGAGAATCAACGGAGACATCAGTCCTACTTCAAGCCGACAACATGTAATTATATAAAGGGAACACGAAATTTAATGCTATAGATTATCCAATTTAGATTTTAATTAATAAGATGCCATCCAGGTGGCGGTATCAGAGGCCTCTAGAGATCCGGGAAAGATCTGGAAACTTGCTAAGTGGGCGAGAAAAGATCCCGAAGACAGACAGAGGTTACCCCAAATAATAGATATCAAAGATACCGACGGAACTATCCAGACCGAAGCCCCAGAGATAGCGCGAGTAATGGCTGAGCATTTCTTTCCCCAACCTCAGGCAGCAAATGTTTCAGATATTACTGAAACTTGCTATCCCGAAGAGTTGGATGGTATTGCCTATACCATTACTTGTGCCGAAGTAGAAGAAGCTCTCGGAAAACTACCGGGAGATAAAGCTCCAGGCCCAGACGGGATCCCAAACCGACTCCTCCAGAAGTGTAAAGCTACTCTAAGTAAAGATCTCGCAGAACTATTCAATGCCTGCATCTCCATGGGATATCATCCGAAGGGGTTCAAAGAATCGGTAACAGTTGTCCTAAGAAAGCCACAGAAGCCGAGATATGACACACCGAAATCTTATCGACCGATAGCACTTCTAAATACAATGGATAAGCTTCTTGAAAAACTGATAGCCAACCGGATCTCAAAGGCGGCCGAAGACTTTAATCTTCTTCCAGACGAACAGATGGGTGCTCGACCCAACAGGTCCACGATATCGGCGGTAGAGCGTCTAACCGAACAGATTCATAACATATGGGGTAGAGATAAAAACCAGGTCGCTTCACTTCTCAGCCTTGATATATCAGGAGCCTTCGACAATGTCTCCCACGAAAGGCTGATACATAACCTGAGAGTAAAAGGTATTCCAAGGTGGATCAGCCGATTTGTAGAATCATTTCTCGAAGAAAGAACAACCTCGGTAAATCTCGGGACTTACATAGGAAAACATATCTGCACCAGCACAGGAATACCACAAGGCTCATCGCTCTCACCGATTCTTTTCCTCTTCTTCGTCAGCACGCTCCTGCCGATACTTCAAACTTCTTGTACCTCGGCAGTCGGATTTGTCGACGATACTAACATACTAACATGGTCAGGTACAACCGAAGAAAATTGCAAGAAGTTAGAGGAACAGCACGTGATATGCGAGACATGGGCAGAAAAGAACGGCGTGAAGTTTGCGCCAGAGAAATACCAGCTTATGCACTTCACACGTGCAAGGAAGCGACACAACCTTGAAGCAACTGTCAGCATACGAGGACATCTGACGTCTCCTCAGTCTTCCCTTCGAGTCCTTGGTATATACTTCGACCCTAAGCTCCAATGGGGCTCCCATATAAAGCATATCCAACAAAAGTCACACACCCAAGTACAGTCGATAAGTAGATTGACGCAGTCAACTTGGGGTGCAACATTCAAGAAGTCAAAGCTATTGTACAGCACAATAGTGAGACCAGCCCTGACCTATGGGTGTTCTATATGGGCTGCAGCTGGGCCAACAGGGAGGATACCAGAAAGGATATTCAAACCACTACGAAGTATCCAACGAAAATGTTTGAAGCTTATTACAGGGTCATACAACTCTACCAGCAGTAGGGTCCTGGAACACGAGTCTTCGGTTCTCCCGATAGATATCTACCTGAAACAAAGGAGGGTCCAACACGTCGGACTATCAGAAGGACTACCTGTCAGGAGATTGATAGTATCTGCGTGCAGCAAAGTCAAGCAGACTACAAGGGGAACAGAGAACAGGCACGCCAAGAATCGAAAGCAAGACATTGAAGAATGGACCAGAATTTGTGGCCTGGAGAATGAGAAAGGGAGACAAAAAGAAGCCGGTAAGGTGGCCGCGTTCCAGGAGTGGAAAAACTCATGGACACGTCCAGCAAACGAGATACCATCTGGTCATCCAGCTTCGGCAGACCCCGAACATTGGAAAGCCGCAAATATTATTACAGATGAGACAACAGGCAGACAAAGGATTACATATAGAAACACACCCTCAAACATCCACCGAAACCTAAGTAGAGCCCAAAGCAGTATTGCAGTTCAGATAAGAAGTGAGCACATTGGTCTTAACTCTTATCTGTATCGAAGGAAAGTTCCCGGAGTGATTGATCCAAAATGTCAGTGTGGATATCCGTCTCAAAATGTCAAACATATGGTCTTGGCGTGTCCTCAGTGGGCCATTGGAAGAGGAGAAGTGCTTCAAAAGGCGAAAGACAGGTCATTTGCGGCAATGATGAACAGCCCAGATGACATAGAGAGAATAACAAAATGGATCCTGGCAAAAGGCTGGTTGAACAATTCCGGCTTGCAGGAGAAGTAGAAATAGCATTGGACGAAAGGATGAGACGATGTGGACAAGGATAAGACGGATTTCACACTGTATAAACAGTGTAATCGCACTTCCTGTAGGAAACCTCAGAAACAAAATAGACACGATACAGACAGTTGTAGGGGGTTTTTACCGAATATGGTTTCCTCCTGTGTAAATATTATAGCTAGTTATACCTGCATGGGCCCATAGGGTACCTGAACGGGCTAAATGAAATCAAATCAAGATGCCTTCCAAAATTGTAAATCAGAAGCCGTTTAAATACAGCTGAAATGCCGATGAGGTTAGGTTCAGGACTCCAACCGCGTGGAACAGAATTTTTGATAACTACAGCTTAAACTATGTCTGATTCTTAACTTATACACATGATATTTTTCTTACCATTACTGCAAGACAAAAAAGACTTGGGGAATTGATTAGGAAGATCTGCTCCAGCTTATAATGACTCTGATAAATACCTCAATCAAAATCAACGTCTAAGTGCAGGAATGACAGCGCTGATTCCACCTTTGATAGCTTTTACCGTATAGAGAATACCCTAGGCTGAAGCGCTAATTACTCGAATTCTACCTCAAGCCATCCATATCCTTGGCCTCAAACAAACTCTAATTAATTATCCCAGGATTCTGGCATCTTTGAAAATGATAAGGGTTGTTGCCAAGTTACAGGCTCTGGTGTGTAGAGTACGAAGATCGAAAGTCTGTCAGTTGTGATAACTACGAATCCTGGACTTGGTATTTTCCCAGAAGCGAATTCTAAGTAAGGTTCGCGATGTTAGAGAATATATTCATGGGGATGGCTTAAGGCTTCGAGCCAGGTCATTCTTTGCTTCCAACCGAGTCAATTCGAACCAAAATTATATCAGGCCTATAGGTACGACATAGTTGATCCTTATTAACGACTAAATCTCTCGTCAACTCAGTCTCTAGCCTCAATAAACCTCGAGATAAACGCCCATGACGATATGAATACGCATAGAAGGATAAAAATATTGGTGCACATATCTAACAAATCAGATCTTTGGAGTAAAAGTGAAAAACCTCAGGATACATATACAAATAGGGTAAACAATGGATAAAATCTCGAGTGAAATGAAATTTTGATTTCTGGAAATGATTTTTCCTATTGAGCATTATGCATTTTACGACTTTAATTTTGGGAGTGCAGAAAATACCATAAACACCAACATGGTTGTATGATGCTGTGGTACATAGTCTTGGGTGGACTCATAAGTAGAGTCTAGATAGTTCGGAAATCCATCCCATTCGAATCCAGTAATATTGAATCATACCTCTCGCGGCGTACTCATGCATGAATGACGAAGGCGTGCCTAGATAACCAAAGGTTTTTGAGTCTCTCTTGAGGGAGTTCCCATAGAGGGAGGTCGATTGTTCTACTACAGCAGACGTACCTGATAGATGTGTTTTCGAATGAAACATCGAGTGTAAGAGTCTTTGAAGACAAAATAAGCAAGTTTCATAGCTATATAGCTGAGTACATTATTAATTTTAATTAAAAAAAAAGAAGACAAAAGAGTTATACAACACGTACACAACGCATTGATCATGTGTTGGGAGGGCAAGACTAAACACCTGTACGCGGTGTCCTCTTCGAACCTGGGAGTGAAATATTCTCCCAGAGCCAAGTTCAGTCAAACTTCGCAATACCGAACAAGTTGGCCCACGAGGCAATGATTCAAATTACTCCACTATATCAATCTTTCACTCCCAACGAAATAGATTCCTACCTAAGCCTCATCAAGTTTACAAGTACGACCTAGTACATCTTCATTCCAATGACCACACCTCTTTTCGACTTTCTCTGGTCTTAGCTGGTCGCCAGATACACGCCCACGCCGATATTTACACCTGACGGAGGAAGCAAAGCGTGGCGCACAAATCTGGAAGACAATTCCTTGGAATGGATATGAGAGGGATCAGGACAAGTTGATAAGATGATGCAGAGGATTGGATACAGTCTTGACAGGCGTGGAATTTTGAGTTTTAGAAAGGAGTTTTTACAAATTGAGCTTTGTGCGTGCCAAGTCTTCGGTTACGAGAGTGCGGGCGATACTATAAAAACCGCCATGGTTGGATGGTGCGTTGGTACATCGTCTTGGTCGGTCTGCCAAGTAGAGTCTGGATAGCTTGGACACATATCCCACTTGAGACAGTAGATCGCTGGTTCAAATCCGGCCAAATACAACCACATTTCTCGCGGCGCTGGTATTCATGGATGACGAAGGCATGCTTGGATAACCAAAGGTTTTTAAATTCCCTTTGGTGGGTACTAACGGAGGAGGGTCGACTGTTAGTGTAAGCGAACATACCTCATAGTGGTATTTGCGAATGAAATCCAGAGTATGAGTGTCTCTAACGTCAAAAGAGTCATCCAAAATGTATACATAGTACCGGTCATGTGTCATAGCTA